GTTGTATGAGATCTGTTTTGAAAGTTGTAAGGTCTTGGATTTGGATTGGTTGAGAAGGCGTGATAGGATTGATGTTCGTTCAGAAATTTGGTAAATTTGACATCCCTTTTTCTCAAATCAGCTATGTAACGATTGGGCACTCAAAACAGAAACGGTTTAGGCGGGAAGCTGTATTCTCATTTATGTAGAGCCACACGTTCGTTGCGTCTATAAATATTTCAATAATTAACCATAATGATATCTTTTAATTGAACTTGATGAGACTGTAACATACGGGCTACTTCGTCGATTTTAACTTCCACTGCCACCATGCTATGTTACTAATTTGTCTCTGTTGATATATATGATAGCTGTCTGATATGTCTATCGCAATACTTTGTACAACATAACATACATATAGCACATAATGAAAAGTAAACTTCCAAGACAAGTTTTCGCAACGTTACTAATGTTATGATGAACAAAATATATATTGATATATTTAGGATTTTAATATATCTTTGTGGCGTGATATTTAACTCAGGTATATTGCAAAGCATCGTTATTTATCTAATGGTTGAACCGAAATCCATTTTTTGCCTTTGCCTTCGGAATAGCAGTATTTGTTCAACATCGTCCAGTACTTCTATTTATTCACTATTCTATTTTTTCTCCTTGGTCACACCTGCCTTTGTATGCCCCTGCTACACTTTCGTTTAAGTATGAAGTATACGTAAACGTACGTTTTAAGCACTGCAAATTTTGGATTGTTTGTCCACTGAAACTAAATCTGGTTTTCGTGCTTTCCACATATGTCAGACTGCCAGCATATGGATTTAGTTGCTCGTGATTTAGCTGGAGTGATAATTTAAGATCTACGAAAAGCTTTTGATCTGGTGGATCATCAGCTATTATTAATTCAAAGATTGGAAATTTATGTGCAAGAGTCAATTTTAATGATAATAATAATATTAATATTACATAGCTACGGTGTCACCATGACGTCGCATGTGCATGTTGACTGCATATGCATATATCAATTGCGAATTGGCCCACAGACATTGGAAAAGAGTATTTCACTGTCTGTAACAGTCCTCATTTCCCCGTATAAAGTTTAACGAATATTTATCTGCACATTTTTTTCGGAACAGCCCCTTTCACAACTTGGAATTCAACAATGGTAAGTACTTAGTCTTTATCTAAGAACAACTATATTCTGAGGCGCCAAATCCTAATACTCGAGTAAACGGTTTGGGATTCATGAAGAGTTATTCCCTGTATTCAAACAGCTCGCTCATTCTTAATGAGTGGAAACTTTACGCATAACAAAATTGTTTTTTAGTCATTTTGTCTACGTTATTAGAGACTTGAACACAATACAATTAGTCGTAATTCCGACACTGCGGAAATTGGTAGGACTTAACCGAGGCTTCAAACTTGATGAGAAAAAAGATTTCATATAAATACTAAACAAAATATGTCACGCACAAAAGATTTGAAGCTTGCACACGGCAAAAACGAATCGTCTGAATTAATAATCTTGTTTATCAGTTAGACCTCAAAATGGCAAGCCACAATAAGCAAGACACAGTTAAGCAGCTGACATTGAAGGACATTTTGATAGCCACAATTTACAGGCAGTTAAAACGCCTCCTGCGAAAGTTTTAATGGATCGGGTTTCCCGGGAAACATTCGATTGTGCGCGGATATGCGGGTAGCAAATACAGCTATTAAGAGAACTATATATAGCCAGCCCATACCAACTCTAGAAGCTGTGTCTATCGCGCTCACCGAAGCTCTCGGGGGATAACAACTTTCTTCACTCATCTTGGCTTATACCACTATAAACGATTAAACTACGGCACAACTTTAGCATGATTCAAAGAGCCAAAAACATCGCGGATAAATTCATCGTGTTTGGAAATGCTCGAAAGGATGAATTCGTTGTGCAAAGTTGAAGCCGTGTAACAGGGTCTTAAGCCTTAAGTCAGAAGTGATTTGCCTCAGACGACTCCTGAATATCCGTGACAGCGTTCTGGATGGTTACTTGGGGCGATTTTCGGCAGAGATTCTGATATTGTAACATAACATCGTCTACAAATTTAAATGATCGTCAACACTGCATGGTTGTATTTAGATCGAAAAAAAAGCCAAGGACAAAGACCTGTGGAACACCAACAGGAACATTTTTCCCCATTCTGAAAAGCAGTCTTCTCTAAATTTAACTCAGGAAATCTGTTATCCAATTAATTGTAGTGTTCAAGATGTCTAGGCGCGACTCTCCCCGAGGCTCCCGATCCATTTATCGCTACTTATGAGAAGATCGGCGTAAGGGAGATGGGAAGGAATGTTGGTTTTATTTCAAGATTTCATTCAAAAATCTTTAATTATTCAAATGTGTATAGGTTTCATGGAGACGACTAAAATGTGGGATTAACTTTAGTTTGGGAGTGAAACTAATTCCAAATTTTATACATTCATAATGATATTTCACTATGATAGTATTTCCATTACTCTACGGCTGATATAAGTGTCTTCTTATATTGTACCTGTAATTTCACCGCCCTTTGTACAGTAGACTCGAGTCAACAGTTAATATTCGCGATGTTTTCCTCACGTCCACCTTCGCTTAAAGCTTATACAACCTGGATGTTTGGCAGTACATTCAGTTTATTTATTTCGAAAGAGGCCGTTCCTTTTCAGCTGAATGGACTGTTGCTGTGCAAAGACACAAATTCTCCCAATCAGCGTGAAGCAATTTTTCATTGTAATTTTCCCTGAATTATAGCAAGATTTCCTCTCGATTGCAAATTACATGTAGTACGTGTTTTCCCGTACATATTTTTGGATAACATTTTAATGTAATACTGAGAACTCGAACTTTGTATTATTTAAAGGAAAATATATAATCCAAGCTATTTCCCTATCCACTGAAACTAACAAATCCAATCTCTTTTTCAGACTTCTAGCACGAAGCGTCCCAATCAGCATGTACCTTTTCAAATACCAATAGACGATTCGACCCCTCGAAAAAGGCAAAAAGGAAAAAAGGTAAAAATAACTTTTGCGCAGGAACACCAGGAAATTGCACACACGGCAGATAAAGCTGAACAAGAGAAGCCAGAAAATAAAGAAAAAACATTTTCTGCTTTTGCTCAGGCTGCAGAAAGTATAAATGGAAAAGCAGATTTACTGCAGCCTGATAACCTTGAAAAGAAGGTCGAAGAAATAGCCGCGGATATAAATAAATTGGGCAACGAGATCGAGTATCTTCGGGAAGAAATAGCAAAGATAGAGAAAGAAACTTGCCCGAATGCGATTCGAAATAAACTAAATGAACATCTAAAAATAGTAATAGCAGAGAATGATAAGCTACGACAAGATATCACCATATTGTTAGAAAGGATGGAAATAGTGAAGAACGATAATAAAGAATTAAAGGAGATGGTTGAGTCAGTCAATAAAAAAAATCAAGATCTGGATGATGAGATGAAAAGTATTCGTGAATTGTTGGAGGCCAAGAAGAGGCTACAACTTGGGCAGATCGCATGGGAACTCGAGAAGAAGATTTGGGATTACGTCTTGCCAAATCAAAAAAAGGGAAGCGCTGCTTATCTGAAATCAATGAAACATCTTCTAGAAAGTGAAGATCTAAGCCTCGAGGAGAAAGAAGAAGGGAAAAGAAAGTGGGAAGAATTGAAACGAAAACTAAAGTGGAATGAAAAAAGGCATAAACATGCCTTGTGGTTGCTCAAACAAATCAGATTCGATGATGCACATCCGGTAGTTACTATTGAGATGGCAAGGAAACTGATAAAAGAGGGTAGTTACGTTGCTGAAATAGAGAAAAAGTCGTGTGAAGAAATCATCGACATGATCCTTACTTTGGAAAACACTGAATAACTTTCAAAACGTTTTTAAGGATGGACCTTAAACTCAAAGAAAGGATGAATTTTAAATTTTCAAATAATATTATTACGTAATTGATAGTCTTAGAACAGTGCTTTTAATGGTAGTTTACAATGTTTATGTACAATTTAACGGGGTCTTCTCTAACATTCTAACAACGTTCATTAATAAGCTAATATAGTTCGACGTATGTAAAAGTATTTAAATTTTGTCCCTTAGTTCATAATTTGCTCGACCAAGTCGATAAGGAATAACATATAAATTATATATATATACTCTTAATCAGTGCAGTAGTATTTAGAGTTAGTCAAAATTGTTACAACTCGTATTTGATATATATTAACATTTAAAAACAGTAGATTAGAGTCACAAGAAGAAGTTGCCGGTCAACTGCAGATATTCGCAGTATATCAAATACGGATGAAAGCATCTGTATACACATGTTTTTGATAAATTTTGCATAATTAAAATAATTTATTCCCAGAGCGGGTATACTTTATAACCTTCACAGTATGTCTAGTGTATCGTCAGTGACAATGTGCTACATTTTTTTCAGCCCATGGAAACTGATACTTTTCGCAAGATATTCAGTTTTCGGATGTGAAGGAAAAATATTAGATTCTGCCCCACGTATATTTAAATAATTTGTCTATTCGAAGTGCACTCCAAGTATTTTTGCAACTTGAGGTCAAGATTCAAGGTCAGCTTTGCTTCCTCAACAGATTTACTGCAAGCCGTTATAGGAATTAATTCAAAAACTTAACGTGTCATTGGAGTTGTCGCTCCAGTTGTATTAGAGTTCTTTGCTTTATTCCAAGCATAAAAAGTAGATTACAGCATCAAGTTATTCATTGCAGACTTCTGCAAATAAACTGGAGGGACTGTCTGATTGCCAAGTCCTGACGCAACTTTTTGTGCCTTCAGAACTCGTGCGAAACAAAGATAAAATTAATTTAGCTTTGCTGCAAACCTGCTTGTAGAATTCAACCGAGCATTCTGTTGTTGGCAAATGTGAACAGCCCCATCAACAGGAGTTAAACATGCCAAAGGCTTAGAGCGAAATAGCGCGAACTGAACTAAGGTTTTTATAACCAGCAACATAAATTTATTCAATTTTTGAACCCCCCGGTATCTTTTACCGCTTTAGAACTAATGGTATTAAGCTGGCTGTAATGCGTCTCAAATGTTATTAGTCCGTTTCTCTCAGTCTGTATAATTATATTGCTTTGAAATACATGTTTTATTAAGTAAAGTACCCAAAGATGTCTTTTATTAGTGATATTGTGTATATTTTAAATTCTATAAACGTTTGTCGAAGTTATTTCACAACTGTATAAAAACATGCAAAAAGACAAGAAAAGTGAAACAGCTCGGGCGACCTACACCAGAATTTCCATTAGTAGTGGTCATGGTGGGCTCCGAAGTCGCGCTGGCGCTGGGCCTAGAAACCCAGACTGCCCAATGTCCTCCGTTTACCCCTTTAATCTTCCCATGAATCTTTTGGGTCTCAGCATTAATAATAACCACTGTGTTGTCAGCGTCTACGACGTAAATGATCCATTTATCGTTGATAAACAGGTTGTAAAATCTTCCGAAGAAGGAGTTGACGCCTTCGATATATTTCACAGCGGAGATGTTGCCCGCATTTTTCGCCAAGTCCAAGTCAACGACCATCATTTTGTCCGCGTGATCAAGAGAAAAAAATACGTAGTAACTAACCGAGGAGTTACCTTTGCGGTAAAAAACTGGGTTAGAAACTGCACCGGGGATTGCAAGTTTCGTGTGACTGGCTTTAAATCCTGTTTTATTCACGGTTAAAATATCTATTCGATTGATGGCATCAGTTATCATAACATATCGACCGTTAGGAGAAACAAACGGATAGCCGGAAATAAACCATTTTTTTGTGGCGCCACTGAGTGTGTCTAGTGCGAGTGTCGCATTTTCGTTGATTTTACAACGCACGTACACTTGTTTGTTATAAGAGTTATACACAATGCTCTGTCCGTATGTTCCACTGCAGCCATACCTTGAGAAGTTACGAAAGCGTGTGTAGTCCTTCGTTTCCAAGTTCAGTTCATGGATGCCGGAATCTTTAAGAGTTGTGACGAAGCCCGTCTTTCCTTTGAGCATGTTTTGGTCGGCAAGTATCCTGTCTCTATCATCTAATGAAAGTTTCATAAGATTTAAGGAGGTGTTGTGTAAAAATATTGTTAAACGTAATATTCGCATACACACGTAGTATTCAAATATAGACTCACCGTTTGGGAGCTGAGCATGCGCAACACGGGTGCTAGTACGATGTTCAGTGTCGATGACGTCAAACCCACCAGAAGAAAGTGATACCCAGACTTCTTTGCGCCACGGCATACACAACATCTCGAATGGTGAAGAATCTGTCTGAATGGTTTTAATCTTCTTGTATGTTTTGATGTCGATCAAATGCACAGCACGTCCACTTCTATCCGCGACAAAAACTGTCTCATGAACAGCGCAAGCCAGACCAAACGAGCAAATGTCACTATAATGAAAGAGGGCTATTAGTTTACAAACTGTTTTAAACAAAAATCAATGTTTTAATACACATGTTTATGAGTTTGTTCGCTACGGATATAGGGTCATGCTGCCGTGTTACAACGCTAGACATCAATTTGACGTACGAGTGTTTCTAGTTTGCGTGAAAAAAAGATATTCTATATAACTGTCGTTCGTGCCGCCGTAAAATTGAACAGGAAAGACAAAATATCCCAATTCAGTGACTTATCATATTACCATAGAACCGCCTCTGTTGACGTCACGCTGACGTAGATGTAATTAAGATTAGACCTCGTTTAAACCATACCGGATTCACATGGTCACAGTGTGAAGTGTAAACAAGGTCTTGGATTGCTCATATCTGCTTTATTCATTTGGACTGCTCAATAACCCCGAATTCCCTGTAATTTTTCAAAGCACATGCGAACGAGCATCTTTTCGCGTTGAAAGCTCATGAGCCAATTTTGGAAACCTTTTCTAGTAAGAACTGGACAAACCAACCTTGAACCGCTTCTCTTGGTACACAAGCCCGGTGCTGTTTTGTCTGTTATATTGGCAACAACACTTTTCGCCACTGGATCTATCACGTAAATACCATCAGTCCCCAGAACATAGAACACATTGCCTATGTCCGCTGAAGTAGTAATCGAATGACCGTGTAGAATTCCTGCAGAAAAATTAAATAGAGAATAATACTTGGTGCGCGGAAATATGGAATTTATTTCAAGTGTTGAGAATAATGTCGAACGAGCGAGTGTATCCCCCAGATCGGTGAATCAAACACGATAATCGCATGCACATGTGTTATTATCGCTTTTCAAAATGGCGGATTCGTCAATAAAACACTGCATATTATACAATAAAATTTAATAAACGCACATGCGTTAAATCAATCGCTTTTTACAATGGCGTTTCGCTAATAAAAGATCTCGCCTCTTTCGATCCCACCTGTCCATATCAACGCGCAGAAGTTTTCATTAGGAAAGGCATTCGTGGCGGGATTTCGCTAGCCGGCTTCCATTTAAACAGCCCCCTATTCATATATTGAAACTTTCTCTCCTTTTTTAATTCTTTACAGAGAAGACAAAAAGTTCAAGAAAACTACATAGTATATTTAATAACTTGAGCTAATTATGTGACGCACATCGAAAGTTAGGAACTGCCATTGCGTGTTTCAGTTCGAGAGAAATGCCGATTCGACCTCGGACTCAACTTCCTTTTGAGTGTTTACTAAACGAAGTTAGTGTTGGGATTGAACATGAAAAAATTGTATTGCGGTGTTTCTACATTCTTGCGCTACGAAGAAACAACATTATAGTAAAGTTAACTTACCGTAGATAACCAGTATTTGGAGCAGAACACGTGGCGTCATAACAATAATATATTGTATTACAGTTAATGCCTATTCAAACCCAACTATCCAGTCCAACAATTTTGATAGCGTGAAATTCTGCCAAATTCTGCTAGATTATGCAAAAGGCTACGAATTTGGTCGTTTGATCTCAAGTCCTGGTGGTTACCGATGTGATATTCGAAGCTTTTTCGATAATATAAACAAATAAAATACAATCCAATCGCAGATGTTAATGTTGCTAAGCGTATGAAAAACTAATGATTAAATTGCAACTTTAGTTATTCCTGCTGACTTCCCTTGAGCGAACTTAAGCGAGGGCGACTCGATGCTTTGCCGATCGACAATTTTAGATATTTTCAGTCATTCCTTGTCCCGGTCTTGATTTGCGTGTTGTAAGCGCCTAAAGCCCACTTCTCATATGTCACAGACGAATGAAGAGCTTTGTTATTTTGAATAAATTTCTCTTTCGTCACCGACACCCGCAATGACCAATGTGATTGTCACCAGCCATCAACAATACATCGCCCACTGTCGATGACATATGAGTTTATTCTCGATTGTAACTATTAACTTCGACATGCTGTAAGGCATTGTATATTGCATGGCTATTCAATCACTATATATCGTGGAGAAAGCAAATATGTAGTATTTCAGTGTATTAATTGTGTGCTTTTGATAGTGCCTAACCGGATGCATGCATGATACTTAGAAATTAATCGCAATATCGGATATCGCAATATTGAATGTATTTTATTTCAACAATATACAACCTGGGCATATACGTATATTTTTATTTAGCATTTTCGTGCCGTTGTTTTAACAGCCCATTAGGTTTGTTCATTAACACGTCAGGCCGGTCAAATTCCACAAGTTTACCCTGATCCAATACTATCACCCTGTCACATTTCAGTATCGTACTCAGTCGGTGTGCAACGATGATAACTATGCAGTCTTTAAACATTTCGCTGATTATTCGTTGAATTTTTTCCTCTGTGCTTTCATCCACCTTTTCTTTCGCTTCGTCTAAAATCACAATTTTATTATTTTGCTGCAAAACTAAAGCGAGATTTAAAGTATTTAACATCTGTTTTTCCCCGATGCTAAAACCCGTGTCGCCAATGTTTAGTTCAGAATCAAGTTTCTCAGGTAGATTTGTGACAACAGAGTCGAGTTTAACTCGTTCTAAGACATTCCATATCTCTTCATCTGTGTGCTGGTTTAACGGGTCAAGATTTAGCCGAACTGTTCCCTTCATTAAAGTCGGTGTTTGCGAGATTACTGAAATATGTTTGCGAGTTGAAAGCGTATTTAAATGTTTGATATTCAAGCCATCAATCATAATCTCGCCCTGGGTCCCTGCAAGGCGCATAAGCGCGGCTATGACAGATGATTTTCCCGCACCAGTCCTTCTAGCTATTCCGACTTTCTCCGACGAGTTTATTTTAAACGAAACGTTCTTCAAAGAGTCCACGCCACCGATGTGACACGAAAGCGAAACGTGCTCGTGAAATCGAAGTTCGAAGCTCGATCAGTTTGCCATCAAAAGTATTCGCTTACTATGAATTATGTACGGCATACGTGGTAACAAACCAGATGGATAAGGCACAAGAATCTGCTCTCGAACTCGAGAACTATGTTTCTCGCTTACAATCGTCTTCGGAGTATTCTCTTATTCTTTCTATCGTGGGGTATGCGTACAAACTGGTTGGAAACCAAGAAAAAGCTGTTAATGTGTTGGTTTCTGCCTTGGAGAAAATGCCGAGTCATCCAGTCATCCACCGTTAACTGAGGCACTTGAATACTTTTTTCTGGATCTTGATTAGAATTCATTAAATCTAAAACGAATCGGTTGTGGAGTTTATATTGATTTATTGAAATACGAGGACAAAAATTACCGGACAATTACCGGACAGTGGCTAGTGAAAATTGAAATAAAGAGAAATCATAGTTTCGGATACATTAATCGAATAAATACAATACAATACAATAAAAAACGATGCATACAATACGCAATTTCAACACAGTTGACATACTAGTCTATAAAGAAGAGACCTAGGGCCAGTTGTATAAAATTCACTATTTTTGTAGTTTAAACATCGTTAATCGCAGTTAAAACGTAGTTAAAGTTAATCATCCTCAAGGACATCTTTAACTTTTCTTCATTTGGGCTGCAACAGAATTAATGAAAGGTCGAACTGGTTTTACTCTACGCCCCTTGAGGAGTTTCTATCCATTAGCAACCGAGAAAATACTCCGAGAGTGACACGCTTTGAAAACTTACTTTGCAGAATTTATTAGGGGAAATTTCGATCTCGGCAACAAAAGCAGAGTAATAGATAATTATTATTGTCAATTGTTACTCTTACAGTGGGTCTTTTTCTTGGTTTACTTGTTGATGCAAAAATTGTTGGAATGTTGTTGGTATATGTCTTCTTCCCTCCCACAAAATACATTGAACACACCCTATGGCTGGAACTGGGATCTCTTACACCTTTTCTTTTCGAAAGTCTTTTTCAAAAACCGCTTTTTCTTTAAATCAGGAATTTTTGGAATCTTATGAAAAATAAGTTCAGGGTTTCTTTGATTGTTGTTTTCGCATTGTGGGATACCACAATATCTTTTCCATAACCTTGCAGTGACTTCAAAAAGTTGTGGTTCAACAACCTTTATTTTAATTATATTATATACTAGAAATACATTGCATGCAAAGTCCCCTCGCCTGAAGCAATAAACCTATATTTCCATCACTGAAATTCTATATTACTCGTTTCTGCTGAATGATCGAAGTCGTAAAGTAAAATCCTATATATTGCCATTAGTACAATAATAAAGTCGACTCTCGAGCTATCAAATTCGACTATGGTCATAATTGTGCTACGAATAGTTTTAAATACTGCAATTTTTAACGAAATTTCAATTACTTTTTAAGCAAATTCCCCTTAACAATAAATACTTTCCAAATCAAAATCATTTCAACGAAATTGACGAATAAATTCAAAGAGGTGCCATACATTTGTTGATAAATCCACATATTAAACTTACAAAATACTTGCATGCTTTAAAATACAAAATCTAACCGATTTACCAGTTCAAAACACTCCAAAAATGCTTCAAATTCGTAAATTTTTGCCATCTATTTGAATGAAAGTTTTTCTATTCGAAGGCATCTTTTACATTATATTTTAATTAATTTTGCGAGTCAATTTTTCGTATATTTTTCACACCATCCAAATGAAAAATATTATTTAAAAAAAGTTTTATAATTATATCATTTGCTGACGTGCTCAAGATTTTTTTAGCCAATCGCACGTTTGTAAACGTTAGGTAGTTACCAGTTTTAACTCGTCTTATAATCACGCATGCGCATAACTTACAAAAACGCCCAACGTCCATGACATAATGGAGGACAACTTTCATTTCGCATTTGCATTCCCGGGCGTCATTAGAATCTCCGGGCGGAATTAGTACCCTTGCGCGGTGCTTCGCACCGGCTCGGGGATTAAATTTAAATACTTAGCTGACCTACACTAAAAATTTACTATAATTGTACACTATATTTAAAATATTAACAAATTTAATAGATACCCTAAATTGTTTCTAGCTACTTATAATTACTCCGGCGTCAGCGACGGAGTTGAAAATTCGCCCCGGTTTTGTTTTGTTTTTTTTATTTTTCGTCGTCGCGAGTCTGTAATGGCGCGAAATATACTAGTATGTGACATGTGTGTGTGACTGTATTTATCTACGTCCCAGTCTTATCTCCCAAGAGTTGTGGTGCACAGCTTTGGCTAATTTTCCGATGCGCGATTCGATTTCGCTCGCATGATACGGCAATTCCTCCAAGAGCAACAAATAAACCGTTCTTTTCATGATTTTCGACTAAGTTTAGATTGAGTTGGGGTAACAATTTATTTAATACATGTAGATTCTGGTCCTATTTTAATAATATCGCTGCTATTTCGCCGTTTAACCAGATGTGGCCGTGTATGGGCGCGTTGACACGTCGCAGTTTGCAGAGGATTGCATTTCATAAATGTCGCCTCAATATAACAATGCTTTATCTTTATTACTTCGCTCAAATACAGCATTTTTAACGTTAACTCAACATATCAAAACAAAAAACTGGGCTCTAGCCCCTGTAATCCTCAGCGTCCGCCCCTACTCCTCGTCTTTTTGCTTCGCTCCACGTGCAAAGCAGCCATGGATCTTACTGTTCAAGAAGAAAAAGACTCTTTGGATGCGGATAATACAGGTAATCTCGTACCAGATTCGTTTGCATCATTACTGCAAAGTTCACAGTTTATTAATTTGATAAAAGAAAGTTTATTGCCGTCTCTCGTTGACGGCGTAAGACAGTCGTTCTCGGCACATGCCGAATCGACAAACACTGAACAAACATCATTCACCGGGAACTCTGCCGGGTCAAAAAGTGGAGATAGTCTGCCCAGTTCCGCCTCTGGGTCAACAAAAGGTCGTCCACTTCCCAGACCTGCCACTGGGTCAATAAATGGTGTAAATTCGTCAAGCGAACCACCCACAAAAAGGTCTCGCTTAGAGAGTACGACGCCAAACGCCACAGCCACAGGTGTGATTGACGTCGAACATGAAGCCTTACCGGACAATTCGCAAGGACATAATGTTAATGAAACCTTTGAGAGCGAAGACGACGTACTAGAACTCACTGCTCAACGTTGGCAAGCTTCGGAGGAACTGTCCGCCCTCCTCAATGTGTGTTTTGCAAAACCACTTTCTCGTTTCGACAAACGTCAGTTAATAAAGTCTTGTCCTCGTCCTAACGTTGATTGTGTATATACACCAGTCCTGGATAAATTTCTAGCAGACTTGGTTCCGAAATGTAAAGTTGATGACAAAACATTACGGAAAACCGAAGATTTACTCCTAGATGTAACCGGACCAATTGCCATGTGCTATGAAATGGTCTTGCAAGGCCAGGACAACCCAGCTAATTTAGACACTTCGGCCTTAATGGGTTGCCTCACCAAATCCTTTCAGTTATTGGGCAATGTTAATGATCATATTCCTAATAAGAGACGAGCTCAAGTACTTTCCAAAATTGGTCAGCGATACGTGTCCCTATCCGATGAAACCTGGGACACTAATGGGAAAGAGCTTTTTGGTCATCAATTTGAACAAAGATTGAAACAAAGAGCCGAGACTGCACAAACCATCTCATCCGCTAGCTTCACTCCCAAGTCAAAGCAGTTTTTTCCAAGCAGCACCTCCTCCCCAAAGCCATGGCAGAGAGGAGGTGCGAACAACTACAATTACCAATACCCTCGGGGACGGGGCCAATCCTACCGCAGAAGCAGACCCTACAGGGGCAGAGGACGGGCGTCATCAACCTTCACCCGCTCAACAATGCCACAAGGTCAATAGGAACCTCCCTAAATACAGGTATGTTGCCGACTCAAAACATAAGATTTCAAGCCAATATGCCCTTAGCAGGCAGAATAACTCATTTTTACGACAACTGGGTAAAAATTACACAAGACC